TTTTAGTGATATATTGAGTTTTTTTACCCAAAAAAAAAAAAAAAAAAAAAAAAAAAAAAAAAAAAAAAACTTACCATTTAGTTTTTTAGTGATATATTGAGTTGGTTTTCAAAAAAAAGATATTACCATTTTAGCATGTTTAAAGAAATATTAAAATTGAAAATCATGTGTAAAATATTACATAGATCGTTTTGGTACCATGTTTGATTAAATTGGCTTTTATTTTAGAAATATAAATCCTATCGAATTTTTGGCACTAAATGATGGATAAATATTGCCTACTGTGGATACATTTTTGGTGAATGGGTTTCCCTCATAACTAAGAGTATAAAAGCTATAGTTATTTGAATTTGATGTATTTTTATCTATATTTAAAAGACAATAATTATAATATTTAATTAAGTTTTTAAGTTTTTATTAAAAAAATGTGCTAAAAATGAATTTCAATGTTTCTTGAGATTGAATGGGGTATGTTAACGTTATGCATTTCATAATCATTTATTCTGCCATTCTACTTGTAGTTTAAAAGTTTATATGCCAACAAATTAGAGTATAGGGATGTAACATGTAAACCCGAAAAAGTATAGAGGGCAAGTTGCACTTTACCGGTTATAATAGTAACCCTTGGGTAACGGGATTGACACGTAAAATATTGAGGTGTCATTTGCTTTGCTCCCACGCAATGGGATATCGAAAATATAACGTCAATTCGTTCCATCTCGGGCTTGTACCATGTTTTTTGTATTTTTTTTTAGGACGTCTTAATTTAAATGGAACCAGGGTTATTGCATTATTGGATTCTTTATTTAAAAAAGGGATAATGACTTGAAAGGGTAACGAACTTTCGACTTTTGTCATATTTAGTCACTAAATTTTTTTTCGTTATCTATTTGTCATTGAACTATTGAAACTGTTCACATTTTACCCTTATGACCGGCGCCGGTCATAAGGGTAAAATGTGAACAGTTTCAATAGTTCAATGACAAATAGATAACGAAAAAAAATTTAGTGACTAAATATGACAAAAGTCGAAAGTTCGTTACCCTTTCAAGTCATTATCTAAATAAAGAATCCCTAACGCAATATGTTCAAATTATTTATTTTTGTTAAATTGTAGCAACATTTGTTGATGAAGAAATCTATGAAATAAAAAAAAACAAAAAAAAAAAACAAAACCCTGAAAATATATTTAAAAAAAACAAAAAACCAAAACCGAAATAAAAAACCAAGGGTTTGACATTCCCCAAAATAAAAAATCAAAATCTCTAATCTGATTTTGGTTTTACAAAAAAATGAACCATTCTCACTGATGTGAATTATAACCATTGGTTTGGCATGCGAAATTTGTGACATCCCATGAATATGTAGTTACAACATCGTCTGAACTCGTAATTCATAGTAAGGGTTAGAGTATCATCACATGAATACGTAGTTACAACATCGCCTGAACTCGTAATTCATCACCTACAGGTTATGGGCTTGCTGGTGTTTCCACTGGGTTGTCTAGAATAGTCCGTCGTCGCCATCTATACTCTGGTAGATGACTACATCGACATATTGTTGGTTAAGGTTATGGTATCTCCTTTCATCCTACATCACATATTCATCATCATCTATTTACCTAATTATCACCACCTTTCTATCATTACATATCTCTCATCATTTTATTTCATCACACACCAACTATTTCATCTACCCATGTTTCATCCGCAACATATTTGTAGATATAAAATAAATATACCGTTTAAATCTTCTAAAACATGTATAAAATCGTTCATCCAGCATAGATAACAAGTATTCAAATAATATGCACACATAGTACGTAATTTATATAAAATACTTCATATCTATATGTAAGATGAAAGTAACTATATATATACCATAAATGCTTCCTAACTTTGAACCCCCAAGGTTTACTCTACTAAAGCTTCATATTCTCGGCTCTCTGAACCTAGAAGGGTCCAGATCTATCACACCAAAAAGCTCAAGATATCTCTTCCTCTCACTCTACACACTTAAGCTCGCTAGGGTTCGCACTTATGGGAAAGTTAGTCGCAATTGAAGGCCATAAGTGCCTTTAAATATAGCTCGAGCCCAAAGATTTAGGGTTTCTGCCAACAGTGCGGACTCGTCGAGTCGCCTCACCTGACTCGTTGAGTCTATTCATTAATCTGAATCACCAGTCGCGACCTTACTCGACGAGTTGAGGCGTCAACTCGTCGAGTCTCTCTTCTTAACTCAAAAGAAAAATACTTAAATGATGATACATGGAAATCCGGATGTTACATTTTGTATTTTTATTTCATAGATTTATTCATCAACAAATGTTGCTACAATTAAACAAAAATAAATAATTTTGCTAAAACATAATACAATAGGAAGTTTGTTCACATTTAGTTATTGAACTTTTTAGAGGGAAACGAACTTTCGATTTTGTTCACATTTAGTCACTAAACTTTTTTTCGTTATCTATTTGCCATTGAACTATTGAAACTGTTCACATTTTACCCTTATGACCGGTAACAGCCGGTCATAAGGGTAAAATGTGAACAGTTTCAATAGTTCAATGGCAAATAGATAACGAAAAAAAGTTTAGTGACTAAATGTGACAAAAGTCGAAAATTCGTTACCCTTTCAAGTCATTATCCCTTTAAAAAAAGTATATGTTATCTTTAAATGTTATTTAATTTGATTGGTATTTAAATTAAGTTTTTTAAAAGATAATTTGTATTATTAATTTTAGATGGTATCAAAATATAATAAACTAATAAATTGTTTTTAGTGTGTTTATGTAAAATGACCAAGAAAAATATATTATCTATTTTTTTTAATATATTTTATCTTATGTCAATTACCTTGAGGAGAAGATAGCCTGATTAGCCTCTACACATAGGTGTTGTTTGATTTTCTGAAGCAAAAATTCATGAAGTCTGCGGACCACCTCTGCAACCCTCTGCAGTAGAAGAGGTGGACCAAACGGCTGCAGACTATAATTAAAAGCGTGTTTGTTTTTTTAACAGCTGCATACTACTGCAGATATTAAAAAATTAAAATAAACTAATTTTATAAACCGAAAATAGCTTTTTAATACGTAAAATTTAATAATGTATAACATTTCGGTAAAAATTAATGATATTTCAGTAAAAAAGAATGATATTTCAACAAAAAATAAAGATATTTTCAGTAAAAAATAATGATATTTCATCAAGAAATTATTATTATTGAATATAAAAAAAATGAAAAATAAATTCAATAAGAATAAATGAAAAAAAAAGGGAAAAAAATATGAAATAAAATTTTAATAATATATAATCAAAATTTCAGCAATAAAATAAGAAGAAGAGGTTGGAAGAGGCAGTACAAGTGCTGCGCCAAACAGAGCACGCAGAAGTTTTTGACCCAGAAGGCTTCTAAAAAACAAACAGCTGCGAGATTAAAAGTGTTGCGCGTGTGCTGCGCCGCGCAGCAGTAAGAGGTTTGAAGAGGTTTTTTCCAAAAAACAAACAGCACCATAGTCGATGATGCTACTTGTACAAATTTTAATTTGCAACATATCAGTAGCTCGTTTTCATGCTTCTCTAGCATATAAATGATCCTAAGGCAGATTAAATGGTAAATGTTCAACATTATGTGCAATGAGAAATTTGATTAAAATTTAATATATACTTCGTTCATAATCTTATATTTATTTGATTCTGATTTTAATAGAATAAAATATTAACAGAATTAAGATGAAAGCCATCAAAGGGGTAAAAAAGTCTTTTTAACTATTGTCGCACACACATCATAAATTAACTGTTTTTTCGAACAACAATTAACGAAGAGGCAAGCAAAAACTTGTAATTACAAATAAATTGACTATTCTTACTGCCCATGATCTAAAACATTAATAATATTGAACATGATATTAGCTAGGCTAACACAAAAGAGGGTAGCCTTTTCCTCTTGCAAATCTCCTCCCACGACCACCACTTAGGAGGCATAATTGCAGTAGCTCCACCGCCACTGCATCAATCTCCTCCTCCCCTTTCAGCCTCAAGTCGGTACTTATTTTCTTGGCCTTTTCTCTCACCGCCTTCCCCAACTCACTCACGACCACTTGCCGGACAACTACCGCCATATTCTCCCGCCTTAGCCGCCCATCATTGTCCCTCACCACCTCCATCCCAATCCCAACCTCCTCCATCAACCGAGCATTAACCGGCTGGTCAAGGTGCATTGGCATGGCTATTATTGGAACACCAAATTTCATAGCTTCCATCGACGAACTCCATCCACAACGACTCACAAATCCACCAATATTTTCGTGCCCTAATATTTTTGCTTGTGGAGCCCACCCTTCTATCACTAAACCCGTATCCTTAACCCTTTCAAGAAACCCTAATGGAAAAGCTTCTGAAACGCTAAGTTTTCTTTCCACTTTTGGAAACCTGAAAACCCAAATGAAATTCACATTGCTCAATTCCAAACCATATGCAATTTCTGTCAAATCATCATTAGAAAGAAAATATTCGCTCCCGAAAGAAACGAAAACAGTGGATCCAATGGCTTTTAATTTGTGTCAAGCCACTGCATCACCAGCTTTTGATTCCTGTCCTCTACGGGAGACGGGTCTGCAACGAGTGGACCTACAGGCACAATCTTTTTACCAGTAAGAACAGAAAGGTAATCACTGTACTTACCTTCGATCTCCTTGAAAGATTTAACAAGAACGATGCTTGAAGACCGATTGACACACTCCATTACACGATCTTTATCTTTACGACCATTTGCGGAGCTTTCAAGAATCTCAGACATGTGACCAGACTCATAGCAACGATAGTAAATCGTCGAGAATGGAAATGGAATGCCAGTGGAGCTGTTCAAGTAAAGATGAAACATGTTGGAAGCCATGGTAACACTTGTGGTGATGAACACAACCGAAGGGATTTCAAGTTTAGAAGCCGCCAACGGAGCCCAGTGTTGAATAAGATCGTAAATGAGCAAATCGGGTTGTAACTTTTTCAAGATTGTTGAAAACTTAGGCTTTGCCTTGTCGAAAGCTTTTTTAAGAGGGGGCATAAGATGAAGAGGGAGACCATTGGTGGTGTGAAGGTGTGGTGGTAGAGCCGGTAGTTTCCGGAGGTGAAGCTCTATGAACTGAACTGCGGGTGAACCATGTTCGTTTGCTAACGGTTGCTTGATCGAACTGATGTTAGCCGGAGTTTAGCAAAGGTAGATGTCAAAGAGGTTTGTGTTGTTGAGTTTCTTGGCTAGTTCTAGGAAAGGAGAAATATGACCATGGCCTAACCATGGGAACATCAAAACCTTTTTCTTTTTTCCTTGCATGTTCATCGTCATTTTGTGATCTGAAACCCTGATTTCTATAAGGTGGTTGTTTTGTAGCTTGACTTGGGAGAAGAAGGTGGCGTTATGTAGACAAATTAAAGGGTTATTATGGTTATGGATAGTGCTTAAAATAAGTACGAAGTAAATCCGTTTAAAAAGTTAAATGCAATCTTTATTTATCGTGCATTATTCACATATCTATATATTTTGATTGATATTTTTTGGTAATAAAATCTGTACTAAAGAATATATACATGTTATTTGCCTTTGATTTAGTTATGGAAAATATCTTAATTAAGTTATTTGGTATATTGTAATCTGTAATGGTTTTAGAGGATTTGATTTAATTATGGAAAATATTTTAAGTTAATTGATATTTTCTTACAATATTTTTGATCTTGTGAATAATTTATTCTTAACCTTTGATACATAACAATGATTTTGACTTTTGAAGATAAATTGACTCATTAAATGAGACCATAGTTGTCTTGTTTCATGAAAGTATAATCATTGTTTTGATGTTCGGTTTTCAATTTTAAATGTCACTGAATCATTAACCAAGTATCAAAAACATTATAACATGTTTTGGTCTTATATCAAGTACACGGGACCTTTTTCCATTGCAACTCTAGCATCGTCCAAGCAAGTGCAATGATATGGAACTCATGACCGCCACCACGATGATACAATTAGACTATATTCATCGTAGGCATTTTCTTTATAATGGCAATGAAATATAAAATAAAAGAAATTAAAAAGTTAGCGGGAAGATAGACAATACAAAGGCTGTATTTGGCGCGTCACAGCTAGCTTATTTTTCGAGTTTTTTTATGTTGTCATGTTTGGTAAGCTAAAAAGTAGCTTATAAGCTAACCTTTTGAAAAGCTACTTAGACTAGCTTTTTAGGAGTTTTTTTAAAATTTTCCAAATACACTCCTTAATTAATCATAGAAACACATATTCTTACATGTCCTTTTATGTAAATTTATATATTTCAGCTAGCTTTTCAACTAGTTTTACAAAACGTTATTTTTTATCAGTTAGTTTTTCAGCTATTAACTAGCTTTTTATTTAACAGCTAGTTTTTCAGCCATCAACTAGCTTTTCAGCTAGTCTACCAAATATAACAAAAAATGCAAAAGACTTTTGTAAAAGAACGAAAGAAAAGAGAAAAACAATACAAAACAACCCCCAATCTACAAAGAACTATATGAAATTATGAATAAATACAATTGTACGTATTGGCGGAGTTAGATGGAGTGTTGGCGTACTAAAGTACCCCCCAAAAATTATTTTACATATATATATATATATATATATATATATATATATATATATATATATATATATATATATATATATATATATATATATAATATTTATAAACATTTTTCATGTTATTGTACCCCAACTAAAGAGATTATAACATGTTTTTTAATGCTCGATATTGGATAAATACAAATAATATATATTGACAATGTTTGTACCCCTATATCAAAATTTCTGGTTCCATCGCTGATTGCACGAGCAAACCCACCAAAAAAACAAACCGGAAAGAGAAGCATCATGTTTTTATAACTTGCTTTTATTAGACATGTTTGTTTGTAGTCTTGAAACAAAATAACTATAACTTGTTTTTATTAGATAAAATGTATATATGCAAGTAAGATTAAAAAGAGGTTTTGTTTACTAACTAGACTCGGTAGGTTTTGCCCAAAGCTAAGTTAAATTAAATAATATCATAAAAATTGGTTTGAATCGATCGATCATACTGCGAACTAGGGACAATTGTGGTTCAACTGCTACAAGAAAATTTTGATATAGCTACGGAAAATTTTCATAGCAAAAAAGCTGAAATTACGTAGACAAACCTAAATAGCTACGGAATTCGCAACAAAATTTGTCAATGGGATTACATAAGTATATTTCTTGTAGTAAAATGTTTTACTACGGAAGGATAGTTTTGTTACAATTTTGATATGATCATTGCTACGATGTATATTCCATAATAATGTGTTCTGCAGTAACTTTCGTAGCAAATTCCGTAATTAAAGGTTTCGTAGCAAGTTCCGTAGCTAAGGGTTCCATAGTTATATGTTCCTTAGCAAATTCCGTAGCCATATATTTTGTAACAAAAAAATTAGGTAGCCGCTTTTCATAACAATATATGTAACATCCCAAAAATTCAAAGAAAATTTTTATTTTTAAATTCATTCCAATCATACGATAATCATATCAAAACAATTGAGAGTATATCATAGTAAAATATTATCAGAGTACGAAATCCCAAAATCACGTAATATGGAAAAACATAGGTGGATGCAGTTCGATCAGGTCAGGACCTTCTCTTTCGAGCTGGAAGTACCTAAAACATAAACTGAAAACCGTAAGCACAAAACAATTCAGAGTATATCATAGTAAAATATTATCAGAGTACAAAATCCCAAAATCACGTAATGCGGGAAAACATAGGTGGATGCAGTGCGATCAGGTCAGGACTTTCTCTTTCGAGCTGGAAGTACCTAAAACATAAACTGAAAACCGTAAGCACAAAGTTTAGTGAACTCCCCAAAAATAATACATATCATATATATATATATATATATATATATATATATATATATATATATATATATATATATATATATATATAGACAAAACATATTGGGTCTATTTCACCCCCCTTCAATATCTTTCAATCGGTATCGGGTCTATTTCACCCACTTCGGTATCTTTCAACCGGTATTAGGTCTATTTCACCCCCCCCCCCCTTTGGTATATTTCAACCGGTATTAGATCTATTTCACCACTTTGGTATCTTTCAACAGGTATCGAGCCTATTTTATCCCTTACCCACTACACATATAATCATAACAATAAGAGTCACAAAGACATCAAGCAGATACAGGCACAACAGGTAATTATCACGAAGACAATCGTCATACTACAAACATAATCTAGTGGGTCGACATTAGTGCCTTCGACCCACGGCTATAGTGAAGGAAACCCACCTCAAACTGAAGATATCAAATCACACTCAAGCTGTTGAATTACGAAATCCTCTCACTCTAAATCACATGTAATAAAACCCTAATTAGAAATTAGGTCAAAAATCCACCCCGAGAGTCCAAACCATAAACCCTAGCTTTAACGGAAAAAGGCTTGTTAATCATTGCCTTATTGGGCCTAATCCACTAAGGCCTAAATACAATTAGTACCAAAACCCAAAAGATATACCATGTCCAAAATGGGTCCAAGTCTAAAGGCCCATCACAAAAAAGCTTAGGGCCCAAAAAGGGCCTAAAGTCCTTAAGTCCCGAAAATAGCCCGAGATAAACCCCAAAGTCCCCTTTAATGAGTACGCTAAGTGTGCCATCAGTACGCCCGACATACTCAAAAGCTTCGCATCGACGAGTCCCCAAGTGCAAAAGCCCAGATGGCCAATTTCCCATTTTGAGGTCTTAATTAGTTAAGACCTAATGTCCAACTTCGGATATAGGTTCCTTAAAGCGTAGTAAGCCATAAAGTTGCCAAGTTTATTCTTTTGCATGACTTATAAAGGTCAAATCTTGGACTTTATCACACTGACTTCATGAAACAACCTTCAACCTTTGCATGGTTGAACTTAATCCATCAATATACCATTTTTATGCTCAAGGGGCATCAGAGACACTAGGATCTAATATTATTTTCTTATGGAGTAGCTTATACTCTCAAGAACCACCTTAAGGACCAAAATGAAGAATATAAGCCCTAAACAATAACTAATACATGGAGTCATCAAGGTAGGAGCTTTTTACCTCCAATAAGCTAGAAATGGTGAGTAACCTCTGAATCTACAAACTCTTTCTTGTCCAATGTTTCTCCACATATCTTCTTCTTCACTAAACACCACACATACACAAAACACACACACACACACAAGCTCAATCTCTTTGGAAAATAGACTAGGGTTTCGATATATGGCTCAAGAAGAAAAGGAGGCTGATAAGATGAAAGAGGTCAAGGACTTAATGTGTTTAAATATGGTTCAAACACTAAAAATTTGGGTTAATCCTTATCTTACATATGCCCTGCATACGCATGAGCGTACCAGGGGGACTCCCCTCCTTATGCATACAGAAGAGTACGTCGTGCGTACCTTGTGTACGCCCAGCGTACTCGGGTCTAGCTCAAGAATAATTTGAATAATTGCAAAAAGGGTTTTTCCTGGCGATTCAGACATTGCAATTCACCCCCACTTGAATCAGACTTCGTCCTGGAAGTTCGATTCGGACATTATAATTCATATGCATGAGCGTACCAGGGGGACTCCCCTCCTTATGCATACATAAGAGTACGTCGTGCGTACCTTGTGTACGCCCAGCGTACTCGGGTCTAGCTCAAGAATAATTTGAATAATTGCAAAAAGGGTTTTTCCTGGCAATTCGGACATTACAATTCACCCCCACTTGAATCAGCCTTCATCCTGGAAGTCCGTTGTCGCAAATAACATGGGTAATGCTCCATCATCTCTTCTTCAGACTCTCACGTCTATTCAGAACCCTTCTAGTATTGCCACTGCACCTTCACTAATCCCACAACCTTCTTCCTCGAGGTTTTCGTCTTGCGGTCAAGGATCGCTACCAGTCTCTCAATGCACTTCATGCGGTCATCCACCTGAATATCCTCCAACGAAACTATGACAACCCGATACTTTCCCAGTCATCAAAAGTCAAAACTGATAAATAAATTTTGAGTTTTATTTATTCTATTAAGTTCATATAGGTTAGAAAATAATCTAAATATAGAAATAAAGATTATATAAGTTTTCGGAACCAAAAACACTCGAAAAAACCCAAGATTTATCCTCGAAAACATCAAAACTCGTTCAGCTATCCGTTTTCGGCCAAAAACCCACGGACCTAAAATAGATCTTGGCCAAGAACCCATCTCCAACCGAGAATCCAACCGGTATAAAGGGTTTTCCTCGGAAACTCGATCATTTCTCACTCATTTCACCCAAAAAATCT